AGAGAATAGAAAAAAACTTGCTAGATCTTTCAATAATCAAGAAGCCGAAAATAATCTTGGCTGATTTTTTACAATTTATTTCTGAGGATTTTATTTTCCCATATGTCTGCATTTGAAGTCAATTCTGATTAATTGAGACAGCTATTTTGACAGACTCACTGAATCCAAAAAATTGAAGTATCTGAACTAGACTAGTATGGAGATTCCTGATTGACATTGGATGATCATCTAAGTTCAATTTTCCAGCACCCAGCCATCTCCTATAGCAAACGTCCCTGCTTTTATTCAGAACTCACCGCAAAAAATAATTAAGCATCACGAAAGTAATTTTGACCTTAAATTAAAAAGATATTCTTTTCAGCTGCTTTCTATTTTTATTTTGACAAAATCTGACAGAAAAAGCTGATTCTGAAAAAGAATCCATAAATTTGGAAGCAAAAGTCAATTTTCATTCAATCTATTACCAAATCTTTGAAAACACTGAGGGTTTTAGTGTATTCACAACTGTGAGCAAATTTGAACAACAAATTTGTGACAACTGTAAATTGAAGCAATGACTATAGTCTATTACACATTAATTAGCGATAATTAGATTTAAAGCAAAATATGTATCAAATCATTTTTCTACATTATCTTTGCTTGCCAACGCAAATCAAATATATTTGCAATACATGTTCCTAAAGTATGCAATTTCATCTTTGTTCTGAAAATTGGATCACAAAATTTACATCCATTTGCAAGAACTAGTTTCAGTGTAAAATAGGAAGAATCAATTTTTCAAAAACAATGGATGAAAAACAATTTTTCACCACGTTACCAATCTAAAAAAGTCCAGAATTTATGGTGACAATCAGTGGAAAAAAAACTTTAATAATTCATGAAATGATCAAAGTTACAAATAACTAAAAGAAAAATGGAATATTAGAATTCTTCATAACACTTAATGGCATCAGAAATAGTGCAAGCTTCCACTTCAACACGATATAGCTTAGTTTAAGAAAATGTTTAATGTTGCAAATAGTGGGTTTCTATAAAGTAGAAATCATGGTTTGAACTTCTCTGGATTCAAGCACAGGATCAAGTTTTCTTGAGACAGCCATGAACATGTTCCACGGTAATATAACAAGGTAGGTGTGTTCATCAAGTCATTGCAATGTCACAACAAAAATTCAATTTGTTACAGAAATCTATGGTGGTTGTGGGGATGATGGAGTTTGTCACAGTATAGCACTGCCAATATCTCAAAACTCATTTTAGTCTGTTGTTATCTATGGTTGAAGCAAAAACCTCACCAAATAACATTACGTTACTATGAATAAAAAAGAAAAAGTCAATAGAAAAACATTGATGAAGCAAATGTTGCAACCAAAGACATAGCAACTGATGTCGATTGTCGAGGAATAGATTCTTAAGAGGATCAGAAGATAAGCTGTTATCAGTGAAGCCATCAGTTACTTGTGTGTTTTATTTTAAAGAAAGGTAACCTGCTTTTAAGAAGAGCAGGCTGGCTGAATCTCAAGATTTGCTAGCAGCATTGCCCTTGAGAACACAAAATGACAGGCACCATTTAGGAGAGGGGAGCAGTGGAGGAGCCACCAGAATAACTCTAACAATCACCCAAATGAGATGAGTTCACCCCAGTTAACATGCTGCTCATTTCCACCTGAGCAAGTGTGGGCAGGCTATGAATTGCAACTCTGCATCTACATAATGTGGCTATCCAATTTACAGCTTCTTGATTTTTTTGAAATTCATTCACTCTTGGGATGTCTGTGATGCTGGCATGTGACACCTACTGAGTCTTTGATGAAGACGAGAAGCATGACAAATGACAACACCTTCCAGTTGCCAACTATTTTAATTTCCCTTCCCACTCCCTGGGTGACATTCCATCCTGGACCTCCTCCAGTGTCACAATGACACCACCCACAAACTGGAGGAGCAACACCTTATATTCCGCCTTGGGAGCCTACAGCCCGATCATCTAAACATGGAATTCACCAGTTTTAAAATTTCCCCACTCCCAGCCTCATCTCATGTCCAACCCTCCCTCTCATCCCCGCCTCCTTGACCTGACACAACCTGTCCATCTTCTCTCCCACCTATCTGCCCCACCCATCCCACTGACCAATCCCGACCACTCCCTACCTGCACTCACCTATCACCATCCCACCTACCTCCCCCAGCCCCACACCTCCTCTCTCTATTTACTTCCCAGCTCCCTTCCCCCTCTCCATTTCTGAAGAAGGGTCCCGACTCAAAACGTCAACTTTCCCGTTCCTCTGATGCTGTCTGACTTGCTGTGTTCCTCCAGCTCCATACTGTGTTGTCTCTGACTCCAACATCTGCAGTTCTTGCTATCTCTGAGTGGTACACAGTATGTTCCTTTAAGGAATCCTGCATAATTGCCACACAAAGAAACTGAATAGCCTTACAATACATGCATATCCATTCACACCATTTATAGCACAAAACTGACGTTTCTGAGCCAGGATCTGTGGTCATTTTTATTTTAAGAACGACAGAAGTAACCAAGGGCTGGGAAGCATAGAACTGCTCCCTTTCTGAAACATCACGGATCAGAATTTGATCTGAAACTAAACTGGCAATCTGATACTGGCTGTATACAACTTGTCTGTTCACTTTGACCTACTTCATATAAAAGAGATTCCAATCAGAACACAAAAAGGCAGGAATACAATATCCTACCCAAATCAGAACATGTTTAAAAATCAACTGAAACCCTTATAGCTTTAGTAGTAATAAAGTTACAAAAGTCACCACCAACAAATTAGTAAAACATCCTGAGATACTTTATAGCAGGATTTTAAAAATATTTGTTTTCCCCAGCATGCAGTTCACAAAAAAAGAGACTGTCCTGCAGTTTTGCTTTTTAGACAGAACTTTGTTGAGTTGAAAGAACAGATAGAATTACCATGCTAAGGTCAGAAGTTCACTGACAACTGCACAATGTTCAACACCATTTGCGACTCCTTATCTTATGCTGAAGCAGTCCTTTCCCAATGCAGCAGGATCTGGACAATATCCAGGTTTGGGCAGACAAGTAGCAACTAACAATCATACCACAGGACTGCCAGGCAATAGCCTTCTCTAACAAGTGATAATCTAACCATCATCTACCATGACTGAATCTCCCATTTTCAACAACCTGGGGGTTACCATTGACAGGAAACTGAACTGGACTAGCCATATAAAGACTGTGATGACAAGAAGATAGGAAGCCTGCAGAGGGTAACTCTGATTCCCCATTTTCTGTCCGCCATCTACAAGATACAAGTCAGGATGCATCACAGCATGGTAAAGTAACTGCTCTTCCCAAAACCACAAGAAACTACAGACAGTTGTGAACACAGCCCAGGGCATCTCACAAACCAGCTTTCTATCCATTGATTCCATCTGCACTTTCTGCTGCTTTGGGAAAGCAGCCAACAGAACCAAAGACCCCTCCTACCCAGTTATACTCTCTTCGTCCCTCATCCGTCAGGCAGAAGATATAAACGGTTGAAAACACATACGAACCGATTCAAGAACAGCTTTTTCCCTGCTGTTACCAGACTTTTGAATGGATCTCTCAAATGTTAATTTTGATCTCCCTCTCTGCACTTTCTCTGCAGCTGTAATACTGTATTCTGCACTCTGTTCTGCTGCCCTGAAGCACTTTGTACAGTACAATCTGCCTGTATAGCATACAAAATGACACTTTCCACTGTATCTCAGTACAAATGACAACAATAAATCAAACTCAAACATAAAATCAGGAGTGTGATGAAATACAGCCCACAGAGCTGGATGACTGCAGCTACAACAACACACAAGAAGTTCAGACCATAAGAAGTCTTTCTTTCTCTCCCTCTCTCTCTCTCTCTTTATACACACACATATAAGAGAGAAGACGAGGGCAACTTCCAACTTTTTTTATAAGAAATGTTTTTTATAAACTGTAACAATATGTATAAGTTTGAACAATTTTGGACCTACGTTTTACAAAATCTACAAATAATTTTCAAAATTTGTCTAACCGTTAGTGCTGAAATTTGCTGTAACTGAATTTATCATTCTAATACGATAGGTATTTACATCAAACAACTTGAGAAATTTAAATATGTTAGCTCTTTTCTCTCTTCCAGGCAAGCAGGACATTCCACATTTAACAGAATGGTTAACCAAAATTGCAACACTAGTCAAACAAAATTCAAACAAAAGTATTAATTAAAAAAGAATTAAGAAAGGTCAAGATTTTGAAAGATAATGAATAATTAACTGCACATGTGTGAAAATTAAATTGTTAACAAGCAAGTTAAATTTAACACAACACGGCTTAAATGATTGAAGAATTTTTGTTTGGTTGTGTGTTTCATCAAAAACTGTTAGTAAGGTCATTGACCTGAAATGTTAACTCTCTTTCTCTCTCCGAAGATATTGCTGGGCTTACTGAGTAATTGCAGCACTATCTGTTTTCATTAAAGGTTTCCAACATCTGCAATGTTTTACTTTTGTATACTGAAACCTATTCTAGCTTGGACTGAATTGCTGTCCTGGCCTGAACATAGACAGTGCACTGTTCGTGTTTGTGTACGTGCTTTGTCCTCATCTACATGCTTAAACGCAGAGAGCAGCCAGACATTATAAAAACATTAATTACAAACTCTCTTCTAATGACTAAATTCTTTGTCCAAGAGTCACCTGCTGCATAAAATTCACAGCTATATAAAACTAAATGCACCTCTGTGAGCACTCTAAGTTTACTGTATAGAAGAGTCTATGATATATAAGTTATTTAGTTACAGGGATGAAAAAATGTAATCATTTTTGAAGTCATTAATTACTTCTTCTGCATGTAAGGCGTCAAGAATGCAAAATTGGCACCATACTACTAGTTATTTGATTGCACCAGTATTGCTACGTACAGACACCAGAGGAGAAATAATACATCATTCTGTGCTGTACAGGTAAATTAATATGCTAATGACTGATCTTACCTGATCCCCAGGTTGTGGCCTCATCAGAGATACTTGATCATAACCTCTGCGAAAAAGAGCCCACAAGGCATCCAATTTTCCCTAGACAAATTATCACAATATTAGAAACAAGATTTATCATTGCTTCTTAAAACTTTATCCTTTTGCACTTTAGAAACAATAAACACGAACTTAAAATGATGGACCTCCTGCCAATGCACTTGAACAGGAGGTTGGTCATTATTGTGCACTCACACCGTTGTGAAACTGTAACTAGAGGTTATGCACTAGCTGTTGCTGCCTCTCTTTCACATCCTGCTGATCACCCCACAGCCCATGCTGCTGGCTGCTCCCTTGGCTGTCTCACTGACTGTCTCCCTTGATGCACCCCTTGTCTTTCTGCTGCCCGCACACTCAGCTCTCCAGCTGCTCCCCTCACCAGCCTGCTGGCTATCCCCTTCGCCACTCTCCCCACTGCCCAGCTCGCCACTTCACTCAGAGCATGGAGCAACAAGTGAAGCAGGTGAGGGCACCGAAGGCTCTTTCTGAGCTCTCCTCTGGGTATTCTAATTCATTTCAGGGGTTCTAGGCTGCTACATGAAATCAACTTTAAATATGAAGCCATTACACTAATTCTGTGTCAATACTGGAAGTGACTTCAAAGAGACATCCCCCTACTGCTGCAATGGCAGCAAACACAGCCAACTCAAAAAACACTGCACACATTAACATCATATGGGACTGTTCACCATTACTTTTAATACTGCATAGTTCAATAATGACTTGTGTTTGGAAGTTTATAGGACTTACATACGCAGTCAAAGTGTTAAATATTTCATATATATTCTTTATACATTGATCAAAGGTGAAATGAAAACTCTACAATAATATAGTGACTATATTTTAAATGCTACTCAGAAGCGTTTTTTAAATACACAAATTCATCATAAATTTGTTCACTGTTTCATAGATACTACTTTCAAAGTATTACAGATTAGGGAAACACGATAACCAGGTTTTAAGTTAGAAATTATGACTTTTAAAAAGCTTAATGAATTATAATTATCGAATCATTGTATATTTGTGACCGCAAATCCATCTCACCAGCTTTTTATGTATGTTCCATGTTCTGTATGCTGCACTATTACTTAGCAGTGACATGGCCAAATACTAATAGATAGCTCAAACTGCTTAGTACCCATAAGCAATTCCCACTACACCATTTTTCACCATTATTCTTATCCATGAATTTGCAAGTTCATTCAAACCTCACGGATTAATTTTCTTACATGAAAGTGCAGAAACAAATTATCTAAAAAAGAATTCACAAAAGTCTGTGACATGACCAGAATAGCATGTGTTCGCACTATTTGGGTGATCATGCAACACAAAATTATTCAATTGTTTATCTTACTCCTCTTAATAATCAGTCAGACATTATAATATTCCCCAGCAGGACAAGTAAATTACCTTAACTGGTGTATACCATTTTCTCTGCTCTGGTGGTGGCCTTCGGGGTTTGCAGGGTCTAGGATCCAATGGTTCAAACTCTTGATCTGGCATCTTGATTACTGCATTTTTAGGTTTTTCTAATTTTGCACCTTCTTCAGTTGAACCTTTATCACCCCAACGCACCTGACCACAAATAAATTTAAACCAGAAGTTGAAATGCGATAAGAAACCAGAGGTATGGGAAATTAAGAAGCCCTTTAAAAGAAGCCAACATTTAGAAGGCACAATTTCTCTTTAAAAGAAGAAAAGATACCTGTTTTTCTTTATAGTTATTAATTTGCTCAGCAAATCTCACGAACAAGTAGCTTTGAAACACAAATTCTGAGAAGCTAATTTTTTAAAAATGGTCATTAATTGCAGACAAAAAAATTCTCTCATCAGTTTTGTTTCAAAGGTGAAATTTCATTTACTTCAAAACTTCATGAAACGTAAAGTTTCTCCACTTTAAGTATGTCCTGAAAGTTCCTTGTGAGATGTGGTATCTATTTGAAAATTGTGTAAATGAATCAAGACAGTCCTGGAGTTGATAAGAAATGCCTATACCAAAAATCAGGAAGGTATAATTTTCATAACCTCCTTTCTTCAAATACTCTAAAACACAAGTCTTATTTTGTGTCAACTACTGCTCAGAAACATGATTGTACAAATAACAGCGTAATTAAAAAATGTTAACTGCCACTACAATAAAATATTTTACAACATGTTGGAATGCTGTATTGTTAATTTGTAAACGTAACGTTTTCAGTTGTCATTTTGCCACTTATTAAACATGCTTTGAATTTGTCAAACATGTTCAAACATCACTAAAAGCATCTGTGCAGTCATATAGAAAATTTGTTTCCAATTGCAGAATCAGAATAAGAGAAGGCAACAGATGTGGACTAGTACATGTGGGAAAAAAGTGAGTTTTTGTGACTCCTCGAAATACTAAAACAAATGTAAACTTACTGCTATATTTTACAGAATCGTATAGTCATACAGCATGGAAACAGACCCTTCAGTCCAATGCATCCAGGTCGACTAGGTATCCTAAACTAAACTAGTCCCATTTGCTTGCATTTGGCCCATAACTCTCTAAACCTTGTCCTATTCATATACCTGTCCAAATATCTTTTAAATGTTGTAACTGTACTCACCTCTACTACTTCCTCTGGCAGCTCATTCATACACGCACAAGCCTCTGTGTGAAAATGTTGCTCCTCAGGTCCCTTTTAAATTTTTCCCCTCTCACCTTAGACCTGTGCCGTCTAGCTTTGGACTCCCCTACCCTTGGAAAAAGACCTTGGTTATTCACCTTATCTATGCCCCTCATGATCTTATACACTGCTACAAGGTCACCCCTTAGCCTCTGATGCTCCAGGTAAAAAAGTCCCAACCTATCCAGCCTCTCCTTATAACTCAAATCCTCCAGTCTTGGCAACATCCTTGTAAATCTTTTCTGTACCCCTTCTAGTTGAACAACATCCTTCCTATAGCAGGGAGATCAGAATTGTACACAGTATTCTAAAAGTGGCCTCACCAATGTCTTCTATAGCTGCAACACAACAATGCTGTGACCAGTGAAAGCAACTGTGCCAAATGCCTTCTTTACCACCCTGTCTACCTGTGACACCACTTTCAAGGAACAATGAACCTGCACCCCTAGGTCCCTCTGTTCAACAACACTCTCCAGGGCCCTACCATTAACTGTGTAAATTCTGCCCTGGTCTGCCTTTACAAAGTGCAACATCTCACATTTATCTAAATTCAACTCTATCTGCCACTCCTCGGCCCATTGGCCCATCTGATCAAAATTTTAGATAACTTTCTTCACAATCCATTATACCAGCAATTTTGGTGTCATCCACAAACTTATTTACCATACCCCCTATATTGTCATCCAAACTGTTGTTATAGATGATCAACAGTGGACCCAGAAATGATCCTTGTGGTACACTGCTGATCGTAAGTCTCCAGTTCAAATAACAACCCTGTACCACCACACTCTGTCTTCTACCATCAAGCCAATTTTGTATCCAACTGGCTAAATTTCCCTGGATCCCATGTAATCTAACCTTACTAACCAGTCTACCATGTGCTATCCACTGGTGCTGTGGAGATTTCTTTTTTTAAAGATATGTTAACATCAGTCTCTACCAGATTCCAATAATTTGTTTTGTCAATCTGCTTGCCCGAATTCCAGTTCTAGATGAGCTACAAATTCCCATTGTTAAACATGAGAAAAAAAATCAAGGCCACTCTATTCAATCACCTGCTACAAACTTTGTTTCACAGCATTGATTTCTCCCTCCTGGCAACATGTCAGACTGCATTTGATCAAAGTTTTCAAAAATTCAAAATATTTGGATTCAAAACTGCCACTTTGTCTCAAAAGGACAAAAAGACATATTCCATACTCAAAGTGGCACTCGTTTTCTGAGACCATTCCAAAAAAAAGGATCTTTCTGAAAGAAAGATGGTGATTATTTCAAACCATAACAACAATAACGCAGATTGTGATTGATCCAACCCTAGCGCAAGATCATGTTTATAAAAAATGAGCGCGAGAAGCCACACAGTAAGGCAGCCAAGTTGGTCGCCCTTTTTTACTCTTCAAGTGTGGTTTGCAAAAAGACAACAGCAGTGGCACCAAGAAGACATGGTGCTTACTTACCTGACTAGGAGAGCCAGGAAAAATTAAGAGTTACACTCACTGATCTGCTCCCTGACCCCCTTCGACTCTCCTTGGATCTGACATCAATCAGACCGTCCACAACAGTCCCCACCTCCCCCGACACCCGCATTCACTCAAAACCCTCAACCAATTGCCTGGCATCTGTACCAAATCATCTATCAGTTACTGTACTATCTTGCATCCTGCACTCAGTAAGATTTTGCCTCCAACAGGGCATTTTACTTGATGCACCAATGTTTATGTTATCCCATGTAACATAAGAAACTAGACTTGGATAGAGCAATACTGAAGAGTTTTACAGTCATTTACTACAGCCAGCTATTATGTACAAGCATTGCATTCACAGGCACATGTGTCTCTTGCCTAACATTGAGCTATTAAATTACACAGAATAGCATGTTTCTTGTAATGGCTCCTGCTCAAATAATAGGAGTTAAGATGGAGTATGAGACTGGCTGGAAAAAGGGTGTGTGCTTTCAATGCCAGGTCCATCCACTGCTGGATGCAAGGGTTCCTAGACTCACTTACGCTGCTTCAGCTGGGAAGGCTACTGGCCTTAAAAGGGTGCAAAAGCAAATAGGAAACAAGAATTTCAAAACAGATTGGAAGAGTTGGGTCATAAATTATTAATGTGGGTGCCAAAATCAAATGGTTGTTTTAAATGTTAACTTAATTAGTTTAAGGGTCTATCTGGAATCGTTGATACAACAAGTTGTTATGGAGACAGATTATGGCAAGATTTTTCGTGGTTGTGGTTGGTTTGAGTGATTTCTCACATATACTGTAGAAGTAAAAGAAAGAATGAACAAATAAATAATGGAAGAATGAATGCCAATTTTGAGGGCATATTTGCAGAAACTGATATCAGATGAGGGCTGATCTGAAGGATAAATGCTTGAAGGAGAATGAAGATTTGATTTTACGAAGATTACACAGCATACGTAAATGACATCCTCCAATATTACCAGACTCATAATGGCAAAATGATTCAGAATTAAAGTTAATTTTGGTTAGCTTTGTCAGTGTCCCAAAATTCAATATTGATTGACCCCAAAGTAATGAGGGGGGAGGGAAACTATTACAACCCCAGTGCCCCACTGACTCTGTCACTGCCTCAGTCATATCCTTATATTCTCTGTGAAGTTCAGCAAGCGGGGTTAAAAAGAATAGGGCATAACCTATCAGAATATGGGGAAAGCCTGTAGCAGGTGGGTGATTTTTGTGGGTCCTCCTCATTGAGTAAAAATCATTTTAACAATTTATCTTTAATGTGTTCAGCTCAATCTCCAGTTGTTTTTGCAAACACACTGAATTTAAAAGGGACAATAACTCCCAAACTAAATATATTAAAAAAAGGCTCTTTTCTGCTTTGGCTCCAAAGTTGCAAAATTTGGAAAGGCAACAACAAGTTGGTGTTATTCTTTAACCTCGAGATTTGCGCCTTGCTCCTCACAAAAATTCAGATGACAGCCAGATAGAAAACGCATCCCCCATCCCTAGAAATCTCCAGGAAGCTATGGCTCACAGTTACAGATGCAACTAACACTGTAAAGATCATGCAATGGCTGTAATGTAATTTCTGATCTGAATTTAGAAACTGCCATACAACTTTGCCTTTAATTTACCAATCTTAGGATGCTACTCAGCTTCATAAGGAGATTATCAAACCAGCTTGTGTCTTGTATAATCACCACATAACTAAGCCTTCGTGAAGCCATCTAATTTAACATTAAAATTTAGGTTCGAGAAAAGATGAGCAAATCACTTTTACCTTTTATAATGTTAATAAAAACTGATAGTTGGATCATTCTTATTCTGATGTTCTGAAATGAAACTTGACTAGCTTAAGTACAAACTGATTCAAATCCATCAGTACAGTCCTGTCCTCACATTTCTCTACACCATACACTACCTTTAGCTGCAAACGAGGACAAGTGAGCCAGCATTGTAATTGTGGTACAGGTGACATTGTAACTTTAAATTTCAAATCTTAGATTCTAACTAACATTTTATTTAAAAGTGGAATAATTTTATAAGTAGACCTTTCATGTCTCACGGTAAGAAAATCAAAGTTTCCAGATGGTTAGTAATCTTTCCAAATATAATAGTGTCAATGCTTCAAATATACTTTCAAAAAGAAGAAGAAGCAACATAGAAACCTCCATCCGTTTAATGCCGCCCACTCCTCTTCCTCCATAATACGATGCATCAACTGTTGGCCATTTTTTCCTTGCCATGGCTTCGTCATCAGATTCCTGCAAGCAAATGAACCAAAGAATGTTATCCATTGGAGGGAAATCATAGAACCCCTTCAGTGCAGAAAGAGGCTATTCAGCCAACTAGTCTGCACCAACCCTCCAAAGAGCATCCTGCCCATTACCCACAACCCTACATTTACCACGGCTAATCGACATAACCACCATACTATAGACAATTTAGCGTGACCAATCCACTTAATCTGCACATCTTTGAATTGTGTGAGGAAACCAGAGCAGGTGGTAGAAACAGGAAAATGTGCAAATTCTACACTGACAGTCACCCGAGGCTGGAATTGAACCTGGGCCCCTAGCACTGTGAGGCAGCAGAGCTATCCACTAAGCCACTGTACCACCCACACTGTGCTAGCATGCTGCCCATGCACCTTTTGCCAAACTCTGAGTTTGTTAAGTGAATCTTAAACAGCCAAGTGTTTTTTAATCTTCAACCAAAAACTAATTGATGTTGGTGCTAAAACAAAATAATGGGTTCCTGTGTTCTGTTTGGAACTCCATTTCGGGTAAAAGTCAGAAAAAGCCAACTCTTGACATTTGGAATCAGCATTGATTTGTGTTCTATTCACACACAAATACAGGACAACAAATTCTGATAATTCATGCCAAAATAGGTCATTATGTAAGGACAATGCTATATTCTGCTTCTGTTTACCATATCTCTACGTAATAGTCACTGAAACACAGACCTCCCTGTAACTGTTGCATGTTTGCACTTTTCACTCCAAGATCTTTGCAGGCTACACAGAAGTACACATCTGTAGCATGGTGTGACAAAGGTCTTTTGCAAAGCTTTATGCTAAAAGCTTTGACCCTTGACTTTTCATAATGCATTTAGCATAAGGAGGTAATTCTTCTAACTGACTAGAACTCTTACTATCCCAGTTTTCCTGAAACGAAGGCATATAATTTTGCTGGAGTTGAGAGATTTAATTATACTATACTAACTGAATTGTATTCCAATAATAGTTGTTATGATTGTGGGCAATACATACCACTTCTTATAGCAAAATCTTTCTCATATGTGGTTCAGTTTTCAAAGCACAATTTGCACATAAGTAAATTCAGGTGCAAATAGTTAACAATTCCAACCTTTTTTTTCACAGAATGTAAAAACAGCATCACTATTATTAAGTCAATGATTAAATGATATAACTAAGTGAAGAACATATTACTTACCTCCTCATAGGGAGGTGGAGGTGGTGGCTCTTTAATCACCTATTAGGAAAAATAAAATAATTTGATTGGAAATTGTTTTAGTTGGACACACTATTTCTATAAAAAAATTATTTTCAAATTAGGCACCATTCCCACTACCTCTACTTTCAAACAAAGGGGTCCTGTGATGTAGTGGTAGTGTTCCTACCTCTGGATCAGAAGGTCTACGTTAAAATCCCACATTCCCTGGATGAATGATATAACATGTCCAAACGAGCTGATTTTCTTTCCCCTCACATTTAAACAACTTATATATTCAAACTAGAATCTCAAATCTATTTTAATGTTTATAAAATTTCAATGAACACAAGGTTCTAATGTTATAGATTATTCAAGTAGTACCTTATTAATTAGGTTTGGCTTGCGCCAACCTTCATTAGAGCTCCTGGGGTTTAAATAAGTAGTGTGTTCTACTTCATACAAACAATGATCTCAAAAATAATAAAGAAATCTGGATGCTGGTAACCTGAAATCAGAAGGGTCACTGGACCCAAAATATTAATTCTGCTTTCTTTCCATGGATGATGCAAGATCTGCTGAGTTTCTCTAATTATTTCTGCATTTTTTGTGGTGATTTCACAGTTGTCTGAATGGCATTTAAGTTTCTTTCTTCTCCTTTGTCAGTGGGGGTGGCACCTGGCTTGGGTTTCCCACCTATCTTCAGTGTCATTGCTGAAGCCTGGTGGGGTTAATTAATCCATGGTACAACATTTTAATGCTCGAACATAGAGTGCCAAATACTTAGCATGGCAGAAAAGAATAACACTTTTATGAAAAATAATTATGATTGTAGGAGAAATATCTAATTTTTGGAATAATCTGTAATATTGACAAATATCATTAAAAGGGACAGTTGCTTAAAATGAATAAAACAAAGAACTGTGGATACTGGAAATCTTAAACAAAATCAAAAATTTCTAGAGAAGCTCAGCAGGTCTAGAAGCATCTATAGAGATAGAAATAGAGTTAACATTTTGAATCCAGTGTCCCTTCATCAGAACTGAACCTACTGGACTCAAAACATTAACTGTTTCTGTCTTTACAGATGCTTCTCGACCATCTCAGTTTCCTCAGCAATTTCTGTTTTAGTTTCAGTGTCACTTTAAGTGATTGAAAACTTACCACAGTACAACACAAAGGCCAAAACCACCACAGCAAGATCAATGCCAACAGCAGGAACAAAACTAACAGCGCAATTAAAAGGATTGTTCCATCAGACTGAAAAATAGAAAAAAGATATTAACTCTGTTTGGCAGAAGCCATTATAGCAGATAACATGTACAACCAATGACAACATTATAAATCTTGTGAAAGAAACAGAAATGCTCAGAATTGAGGAAAATGGTGACAATAGTTATGAATCAGACTACAATAGTAAATAGCTACATAAACCCAGGAAATAGTAGAGAAACTTACTCTATAGGAGGAAGATAACCAGAGAAAAAGAGTTGAAGGTGTCTCAAAGAAGAACAAATAAGGAATTCTTCAAGCTAAAAATATTAAAGAAGGAGAGACATGCAGAAATAAGACCAAAAGTGAAAAAGAGTGCCTAAATATACATAACAGAAATAAATGAATTGGGAAATAATACAGAATCCATGCCTTTGCTATCTTTAATCCTGATTTTCCCAGTGATCTCCAAACTGGCTCTCCCACCTTCACTTTCTATAACCTACAATTCATTCAAATCCCTGCAGTCACGTTATCACCTATACTGACCTTTAAAAAACCCATGAAGCCTCATTGAGTCTGAAGCCTTTTCATTGTCTTCAAATGCTTTTATTTACAACACCAGACCTCAAAAAATACCCTGCAGCCACTACTACATGCACTGTCCGCTCATCTAACAATGAAATTCTCTTCGTTTCCACTCTCTCAGTTCGAACATTAGCCACTCATTTATTTTAACTGTGGTGACGCCTTCACTTAGATCTCACATAGAACTCCTTTCTTCAGCCCCTTCCTCCATATTGTCTGAAGTTCTCTAAAACCCTTCACGTTGACTGAACTCCCACATGTTATCCTTTTTTCCTCTTTTTCCCATTTGTTTATACTTTGTTGAGCTTCCAGTAACTGAGATCACTCTTTACTCATGGTGAATTTAATAGAAGTGCAAATTGTTCTTGATTAGAAAAATATTTTTATAATGTATGAGGTCTACCACAAACTTCAACTTCTTTTGCGTTTGAGTAGTTTTGTCTTCTTATAAATACTTTGATGATAATCCAAAATGTTTCCTTCTTATTTGCATTTTCAACTGTTTACTTACACAATGTGTACTGGTGATACTGACAGAGCTGGATATGAATGTTAACCCCTCATTCATGCTTACTTGAAGGTAAACTACCCTGAAAGGAAAATATTAATATTGATTAATAACATGTTCCTTATAATACATGCAGGTTTTACTCCAATTATACTACCTTCTGGCCTTAGGACTATTGAAGCATTTGCATAGGTTTGTACTTGAGGTGCCGTAAGAAATCTTGAAACATCTACAAAACATTCTGTGCTGGTTGGAATTATACCCAATGTGAAAGAAAATGGTTATGTCATGTCGATCAGTTGAGCCCCAACTTTGTTTTACTGCAGGTGCTGTCCTGTTCAAGGTTGTGTCAATAACCATTACTACCCTTGGAGATGCCACCAGTGACATTGTGGAAGCTGCCATTGACCAGAAATTTGAATTAGACAGCCATTTAATGGTTGTGCCTCTTCCTGTAGGTCAGAGAATAGGACTCCTGCAGCTAGCAGCTCACCTCCTAATGACCTAAAGTTCCCTAAAGGGTCTGATAACCTAAATCCCAGGATACGAAAGGAGAAAGCCATGGGAGTACTGGATGCATCTTCCAAAATTCTGTTGATTCTGAAATGGTCCAAGCAGATTAGAGGGTGGCAAATGTAACCCCTCTGTTTAAAAAGGAGGCTTGGAGAAAATGCAAAGATACAAACCAGTTAGCCTAACTTCAGTAGTAGGAAAAATGTTGGAGTCTATTATAAAGGATATGACAAGAGAATACTTAAAAATTCCAACAATATTACACAAAGTCAACATGGAATAATGAAAGGAAATCATGTTTGGCAAACTTCCTGGAGTTTTTTGAGCAGTAATTTGTAGAATAAATGAGGGAGAAACAGTTGTATCAGGTGCTTTGATTTTTAGAAAGCTTTGGATAAAGTCTCAAATAAGAGAATACTGTTTAAAATCAAAGCACATAGGATTGGTGGTAATATACTTGCATGGATTGAGAATTGGTTAGCACACAGGAAATAGAGAGTAGGAATAAATAGGTCATTTTGAGTGGAAGGCAGTGACAAATGTGGCACTTTGGTTTTAAATTTTGTTTTATAATGCTTCCATAAGGTGTAGTGATTGTAATAACGTTAGCCAGGTGGACGTCGTAGAATATGAGTTCCCTGATTGGGGCTGTTAATCTGGTCCAATCAGGGAGTCCTGGCTGAGAGATAAGAACAGGAGTGTTAGACATCCTGTTCACTCTGACAGTTGGCTTTGAGGGAGCTGGCTCAGTGTCAAGGACTCTCCATGTGTAAATAAAGGCTGACATGGTGACACATTACTGGCCTCTGTGGAGTAAGAGAATCATACAGCATGGAAACAGACACTTCAGTCCAATCTGTCCACGCCAACCATAATTCCAAACTAAACTAGTCCCACATGCCTGTACTTGGCCCATATCCTTTTAAACATTTCCTATTCATGAACTTATGCAAATGTCTTTTAAACATTGTAATTGTACCTGCATCCACCAATTTCTCTGGTGGTTCATTCCACATGCGAACCATTCTCTGTGTAAAAAAAGTTGTCCCCATGTCCTTTTTAAATCTTTCTCCTCTCACTTTAAAAATGTGCCCGCTAATTTTGAACTCCCCCCCACCCTAGGGAAAAGACCCTTGTCATTCACCTTACTTATGCCCCTCATGATTTTATAAATCTTAATAATGTCACCCCTCAATCTCCTATGCTGTAGTTATTTCATAAGGTACCTTGGAATCTTTTTTTGTCACATTAAAGGTGCTATATGATTATAATATATTGTTGCATATAGAAATCAATGAAATTAGTTAAGATGGAAGTGATCTTTTACCGAACTGATCATTTGAAAATGCTTTGCTATTTTAGAATAAAACAATACAAATCTTACTGATCTACTACTAAATCCTTTGCCCTCATTTATTTTGTTGCAAAAGATATTTTTCTCAATACACCTATACTGTAAACTCAGTAGCAACTGGAGTATTTTTACACAGCTCATTATTTGCAACATACTTTTTATAAATTGATTAATTCATGGGATGTGGGCATTGGTGGCTGGGCCAGCACTTATGACCTATTCTTAGTTGCCCTTGAGATGGTGGTGGTGAGCTGCCTCCTTGAACTGCTGCAGTCCATTTGGTATAGTTAGACCCATAATGCCATGAGGGAGCAAGTCCTAGGATTTGATCTGGTAATACTGAAGGAATGGTGATATATTTCCAAGTCAGGATGGTCAGTGACTTGGAGGGGAACTTGCACTACAGGCTGCCCTTTTGTCTTTCTAGATAGAAGTAATTGTGGGTTTGGAATGCACTGCCTGGGAGAGTGGTGGGGGCGGATTCATAGGAAGTTTCAAAACAGGGATGGATATTTAATTGAAAGTGATGAATTTTAAAGGGCTATGGAGATAAGACTAGAGAATGGGACAAGCTGGGTGGCTCTTATGGAAGCTGCTGTATACACAATCTATCAATGGCCTCCTTCTATCTATAAAATTCTTTGATTCTATGGAAGGTGCTGCTAAGGAGGCTTGGTAAATTTCTGCGTGCATCTTGAAGATAGTGCACACAGCAGCTACTGAGTGCCAGTGGTGGAGGGAGTGAATGTTTATGGATGCCAATCAAGTGGACTGCTTTGTACTAGATGCTGTGAGCTTCTTGAGTGTCGTTGAAGATGCACACAGCCAGGGAAGTCAGGAAGTGGCTCACTTGCTGCAAGATTCCTAGCTTCTGATATGCTCTTGTAGCCACAATAACAATATGGTTAGTCGAGTTCAGTTTTGGGTCAATGCTATCCCTAGTAGGGGATTCAATGATGGTTTTGCCAAGGGGCTATGGTTAGATTCTCACTTGTTGGAGATTGCCTGACATTTATGTGGCAAGAATGTTACTTGTCACTTGTCAGCCCAAACAGAGATATTGTCCAGGTACTTCTGCATTTTGACATGGGTTACTTCAGTCACTGAGGAGTCATGAATGTGCAATGTTCAGCACCAATCAGTGACCATCCCCACTTTTGACCTTATGATGGAATGAAGGTCATTGATGAAGCAGATGAAGACAGCCTATGACACCTGAGGAACTGCTGCAGAGATGTCCCGGAGCTGAGATGACTGACCTCCGACAACCACAACCATCTTCCTATGTGTCAGGGATGACTCCAACCAACATAGAGTTTACCCCCTGATACTCATTGTTATGGACCAGACCCAACCCTCTTCAAATATATCAAGGAGATAGCCTGGACCCTAACTTTTATCCTATTTAAAGACAAGTGTAAGGTGCTGTGTTTCAGATGTAATTCAATTGGTTACATTCCTTGGCTTTAAGCAAAATACACTTTATTCTTACCTACAGTTAAAAAACATATAAAAGAAAGAAGAATTGGTATAACTTAAACTCTATTGGAATGCATAACAGAATAATAGATTATTTAACTACTAAACAGCAACTGTTCTAATACAGTAACATCCCATAAACACACCTTTGGCAAAGGCAAAATCAGTAAAACAGATTGTCTCACATATGATTCTGGCAGAGAGAGAGAACCTAAGCTTTTTAGCTGGAGCAAGGAGACAGAGACAGCTTCCACAGCCAACTTCCAAATGCCAACAACTACCGAGAGTTAAACTAAAACCCTGGTTCTTTGGAAGTCTGACTCCACCCATTCATGCTGCTTCTATTGTTCCAACTTTAAAAGAAAAACCACGGCCTCACAAGCCATTTACTTTATTCACTTGGAACAAACTACTCTCCACTTCTGTCTCAACCTCCCTTCATATAAAAAAGGACAAAATACACTGCTTAAAGCCATAGTATCGACACACCATTGATTCCAGTTTTGCTAGGGCTCCTTAATGCCACACTCAGTCAAATACGACCTTGATGTCAAGGGCAGTACTCTCACCTCATCTCTCACTATAATCTATAAATCTGATAAGCAAATAATGAGTGAAAACAATACAAAATGGCGTTTGAAAGACATATAATCTGAATAACTTCCTATTGAAAAGTACAAAAGGTCTTCGAACTTTTTTTAACGAATGTGAACATTTATTTAGTTCAGGAACATAAGCTGGAACAGTTACGTAGTTAGTTCAGGAAAATAAACTGAGACATAGCAGATCATATGTTTCAGATGAGACATTCCTTTCTGATGACGCTTTTTAAATGAGATTTCATTTTGTTGGAGTACTGAACTTATACTCTATCATGCTAAAAACAGCACAAATTTCTAATCCAGATCAATTAAAAATGTTTTGGCTGAATAATGATGTGCTAAAAAGTGAAACACAGTCTTTTACTTTCTGAAACAGCAAGCCTTTGCAAGATCAACAGTTAAAGTGAATATTTAGATGTGGAAGTTATTCTGAGAATGCAGGTTGCATTGCTCTAGACTGTGTGAAAACAGTAAGTGTCTTTCTACAGTCTTCTGAGCCCCTGACTATCCATCAATCACTAGCCACCACAGATGAAGTAAGCATATTCTAATTTAAGACCATCCAGACTGAAACAGCAGCAGGAGGCGACTTGAATTTGAAATGGATACATGGATGTAAAGATGTAGGTTTCTCAGTGCTTTTAAATAAAATTGGACAATAAGCATCTCTATGGAAGTCATTACATTTACTGCAGGTGCAACAAAGAAACCATTAAAATGCGTGGGGTTCAGTCTCAACAAACAAAATCACAGTAAAACCACAATTTCATCCTGTCCAGAATTTCCAGTTGTGCAGCAATAGAATTCTCTGGTTAACCAGAGACTGTCTATGACAAAAGTGATGTAACTTAGAAAATAAAATTACTGACATTGATGAATTCCTACAAAATTGTTTAAATAATATTATTTTAAACTTAAATTATTAGATGATGGTGAGTCATATAGTTTTGATTAGTTGAAACTGTATGAATGAGAATTACTTTGCCAAAACAAGAAGGGTCAAACATTTATTGTTATTTAAAGTTTAAATCACCAAGCATAGAAATTTATTATGTCTGGGGCTATTCAGCCCATCATGCCTGTGCCACAGTTTACTAGGGCAATTAGAAACTAATCCAACTGCCTTCAGAGTCCTGAATCCATTTCTTCAAATGTTTACCACTCCACCTTAAAGTATGCAATGGTGTCTACCTCGTTGGTTTGCTTTGGCAAAGTACTCCACGCTACAGCAATTCTAGATAAAAATATTTCTCCTAATCTCTCTTGGTGAACATTTCAAATTGACAATTTCTTATTACTGACCCAACCTGAGGAAGCAATCTTTCCCCATTCATTCTCATGAATTTAAAACTCTAAACAAACATTTTTATTTTGCATTCTCTGCTCTAACATGAATAATTGCAGTATACTATAGCATCTTGTAACATTTCTCAGCCTTGCTAACATCCTGGTGAAACTATGGCTGAAATTTTTCCAGCCCTGAATGATATGCGTAATGGCAAATCAGTTGGAAAAATTGTAAACTCAGGAAAATGAGATTCTCAACATCAAGAATAAAAAAAACTCACTAGGGGTTGCAGTGAGAAACCCTTCATGAAACATCCAAAAATTGCCACTTAGCTGATATTTGGTAAAATTCAGACCATGCCTGTACAATCTCTCCAGTTTTAATGTTTCTTTCTGAATGTCAGGAACAGAAATATCGTGCATTAACTAATTTATCATTCTTCTTTACTTGTTTACCATCTGTCTTGGCATTTCTTTGCAGACCAAGATTTTAGGAAGCTGTATTCATTGGTTGTAGACCCACTGATGACCAGTCAGGCTGTGGAAAATAATGAAGCTAAAGGCTGATAAATCCTCTGAACCTGATGGGTTGCATCCTAGGATTTTAAATGAAGAAGCACAGAGATCGTGGATTACCTGGTAGTAACCTTGCAGGAATCCTTAGATTCTGGAATGTCCTAGAGATTTGGAAAACTGCTTATTCAGAGGAAGGGAGAAAGAAAAGGAGGTAGGTTTGGGCCAGTTAGTTTAACATCTGTCATTGCAAAAGGATTATGAAGGATGCAATAACATAACATTTAGAAACTGAATATAACCAAGCAGAGTAGCATGGCTTCATGAGGGGAAAATCATGCCTGACAAATTTATTACAGTTCTTTGAGGAGATAACAAGATAACAAGAATAGATAGAGGGAACCAACAGCTGTAAATATACTTGGATTACCAAGAGATGTCTTTTATGGTACCACAGATAAGATTATTTCACAAGATAAAAGCCCACACTGTGTTGGGAGTAGGGTAGGATGGAGCATTGGCTAACTAACAGAAGACAGAGTTGGGACAAAGGGGATATTTTCAGGATGGCAACCTGAAAACTAAAGTTTCTCACCCCTGAAATGATGTTTGTGAATTTCTCCTGCAAATATAATGCTCTACCTACTCATTCACACTATGACTACAGTTTTGCCCAGTTTTTTCAAATTTCACCATCTGCTATAATGGTGATTGGAATCCATGTTTCAAAAGCATTACCAATCCAGTGACAACGCTGCTATACTTCTACCACTATTGTCTCAGGCATCCTTTGATCTTGCTGGTTATAGGAGATCTGGACATATGCTACATTAATAGGCTGCACTGTTTACATAGACCATAGGAACTCTAGCTACGAATCCATATCCACCCAAACATTATCATTGACATACACAAAAACTCCTGCAGGGAACATGATGGATTTTTGTTTGAAGATTACCATCAGCTTTAATTTTGTTCCATTGGCCAAGCATACTAGTACCACTGTGAATCCTGTCCTCTCACATTCTGTCATTTTGTCTAAAACTGCTTTCAAACCTTTCAATTCCACAGTTCAGCTGTTTTGTATATCGAAATTCATTGGTACTTTATCCATGTTGCCCACATGATTTAACGGATAATTTTGCTGATGATGAACTGATAACTTTGACATCAATGTCTCTTGGTTGCCTCTGTGCAAACTCGGTCTTCTATCACATAAAACAGTTACACCAGCTAACTGTTGGCCTGAAATAGTTATTGGACTCTGTATTTGATTTGGCTCACTTAAGTGTATTTATGTGCACTGCATTTATGGTGATGATCTGACAATTCTGATGATTTTTGAGGATGAGTCCCAATACATGCTTCTCAAGATCAGGTCAATGGTCAGTCCCTATTCTGAAGGTGCATAAATTCTTAGGCATCCTCTTCTAGTCTCACACCAGATTATCATTAATACTGAATTACCTCACTCCAGCACATTGATAATTTAGCAAATTTAGCAAAAGTTTACAGCTTTTAACATAAAAGCAACTTTGTACTTCATACTTGTTGCTGGAAGACTAATTTCAATTGTTCACTTGCTTTACCATGCACAGTGTCTTTCGTGTGGACATGCCTTAAATTTCCTCACATCTTGTTCACAACCAAGTCTGTATTAACTGCTTGATACAATGCATTGACTCATAGTACAAGGTAAGTAAAAGAAGCATTTCTGGGGTGATAGGTTGAGTTTTAATGAATGTATAATGTCTCTTGGCTGAAAAAATGGGTTGGCTTAAATGCCAAGCAAATACCGTAGCATGATTTCTGGCACTGAGAAAATGGGGTCATCTTACGCATCGTGATCTGCAGTAGAAATCTATGCTGGAGTTAGAATTATGCTTAATTTCAGGTATTCAATACATTGCAAAAAAAAAAACACCTTATTACTTACATTCCAACTTCATCAATCACTGGAGCAGTGCAGAGTAAGTAATTATCTTCCACAACAAGAGGCTTCTCCGCTAAAAGATGGAAATATTTATTAATGCTGAAATTTTGCATTAAAAGTGAATATTGTAATGACTAATCTGAAATATAAATATTCACACTAATGTAGTACATTCTTGTAATATGTAAATTTTAACTTGATTTGTATTAGAACATTTTACAATGTTACAAACACTATGTAAATACACATTTTGTTAGAAAAAATATTTAGGATGAGTGGATAAAGCAACACAAAGTTTTCTCATTGCAAAATTTTCTTCAATGCCCAATAAAAAGTATAAACCTATCTCTAGTTGTTTATGAAAGTATCATTGGGCTGCTGTCCCATTAGAGAGAGAGGACTGATGGTGGTTTAGCCTGAGGGTCACCACACCCCAGGAGAGGGGAAAGGTTAAGAAAGAGAGTACCTGGTAACCTCACCAGTATAGGAACTGAACCCACACTGTCACCATTACCCTGCTGAGCAAACGAGCCATCCAAGCCAACCAACCCCCTGTATTGCACTTTCCCAGTCCACAGAAGGACAAGATGAAAGAGCACAGTGCTGATAAAGATGCCAAACCACTTGATCAGAAATTGCAGACAGCAGCTCAGATGCTGACATTCCATGGACTTTTAGTGATGAGCGTAGAGTTGGGATAAGCATGTGATGCGTTGGCCATGAATGGGCTGCAGCCAGGCCAGAGGAGAAGATGGTTTGTCGGTCAGATTTTTCCAGAGGGGGGGATTGCAAATGGATTCTACTGCTGGAGACTCAGATGAGGATCTTTGATAGAATGTCATTCAGGAGAACACTAGTGAGGATGCACACCCGATGCTAAACAGAAACTAACAATATCCTCAACGTTAAACTTCCCTGAGGCTGTTGTCATTGGCTGACCCCAGATGCTTTTGCACCATCTGCCCATGCTCTGTGCAGTGATTCTTCCATTCAGTGGTTAGCCTTACATTCAGTCCCAATGCTGCTAGGGTCTAAGGCATGCAATTGATTAGACTGCCTATGGTCATTTGACACCACTGTTGACAGCAGGTTGTAAGTCCATAAGACATCAGAGCAGAAGTACGCTATTCAGTCCATCGAGTTTGCTCCAACATTCAATGAAATCATGGCTGAGCTGATAACCCTCAGTTCTACTTTCCTGCCTTTTCCCCATAACCTTGATTCCCTGAGTGATTAAAACTCTATCTCGCCATGAATACACTAATGGCCCAGCCTTTACTGCTGTTTGGTAAAGAATTCCAGAATAACAACCCTTTTAGAGAAGAAATTCCTCCTCCTCTGAGTTATGGATTAGTCAGTCCTTTCTATAGCGGCTTCTTGGGCATTTCTCAATGATTTGCTAAATGAGCATATTGAAACTGTCACATAAAGTGATGCACATATCTTTATTAAACATAGTTGTCTAGATTTAACAACACTCGAAACTTTTAACCTTTGGATTGATCAGAATGACTCATAACAGGATTCCTATTCCTAAGAAGGTTTCCACCAAACCCCCACCACCCATCCAGGAGGGTTGAGAGCATTTCAGTGTTTCTCAATAGTTAGAAAAAGGAGGCATTGTCTGAAACCCCAGAAGAGAACAGTACAGCAAACACGAGGTTGTTGAAATATTCAGTATCAACTCAACTACTCAGCATTGCAGCCATTTCAGGGGAAAAAAAAGTACTGATCTTATAAGGTTTGGCAAGGTAAATGAACCAGCCACACCTTCCAAGAATGTAATTAACTGAGTAGGTCTGAAACATAGAATTACCTCCCTCTAAACCTCTAGCAAAACTGACAATGTTGCAGTTTTGGCCACTACCGTTTTGTGCAATAATTGAGTGGTAGCAGGCAGTGTGTTATAATGTGTAATCCAGGAAAGAGGGCACTCTAAAATAGATCAGCCAAATGAATAAAATGTATAATCAGTTAATGTTGACAAAAGTGCACTCTTGTAGAAGGACTGAACTTTGTGGTATGAGATGTTTGCAGTACTGTTTTGACAGGTTCAGTGCAAAGCTCCAAAATCAGCGAACCAGTGCAGGAGATGGAGGCATTTAAATTGCCACTGGTGCATACAAAGTTTCTGCAATATTTTCAACCAACTTAGAAAGATTACACTGTAATCCAATCCTGCTTACAAAACTGGCTGTGACTGCAGATCAGATTAATCACCATGCCATTCCTGCTAACTGTGCCCATTTCTAGGCTTTTAAGAAGACTGTTAAAATTAAGTTATTCTTAAATCACAATAATACTAATACGTACCTTTTTAAAAGCTATTAAACCTTAAAAATTCCTAATAAACACAAAAATTGACAACTGTAGACCAATGAAGCTAATGATTGGTTTTTTTTTAAACCTATTTTTGTTTGTTATAAAAGAGGTTACTCATAGTCGTGCACTAGACATGGATTAAAACGTTTATAGTTTATTAAAAATACTTTTTCAGCTCTAATTACGAAAGTGAATTAAGTTATCACTCTTTAATAGATTATGGAATATTTATTAATGCAAAGAGTTCCAGTCTACAAGATTGAACTGGTGAAAAATTTATTTTGATTATTTACTCACAGCATCTGGACAGACTTATGTCCATCCTTAACTGCCCTGGAGAAGGAAGTGAGAAATGTTCTTGAGTCAGCATGTAGAGAAGCTATATAGATGGTATGAGTAGGTTTTGACCCAGCAATGATGGAAGGAACTTGGAAGTGGTGGAGCTCCTATGTGTCAAAAACCCTCGTCAATCTAGGCTCCAAAAACTTCAGGTTTGGAAGGTGCTTTACTGCAGTCCATCCTGTAGGTAGCTACACACTACTATAGTGTTCTGGTGGTGGAGGGAGTGTATGTTTATGGTGTGCATGGAATTGTAAATTGAACTGAATACTGTGCAATTTCAGAGAACATCCCCATATTTGACTTTGTGATGGAGGAAAGGTCATTGATGAAGAAACTGAAGATAGATGGACTGCAGACATGCTCTGAGGAATTCCTAAGACTTAGATGACTAGCCTCCAACAACAACAGTTATCTTCATTTGTGCTAGGTATTCATCCAGTCAGTAGAATGTTTGCTCCTCGAGTCCTATTGACTTCAATTTTACCAGGATTACTTGATGTTCGGACAGATGCCACTTTGATTTCAGGCGCAGCCACTTTCAGCTCACCTAACCTTAAACTCACTTGTCTGTTATCAAACATGAGTATGATTTGTGCCCAGATTGTCCAAAGCAGACTCCTGTTTTGATCTTTGGTGGTGAAAGAAACGATGCAATAAGCAAAGATTTACCTGAGGGTACACGACTGACAGAATGATGTAATTACTGGATTTTAAACAATGTAAATAGGAGAGCGTGTGTAACTCCACAACCCCCATTCTATCCACAACATCTTTAGGTTCAATCACAAGACAGGTTTCCTTAAAGCGTATCAAGTTAGTGGAGAATGTAAAACAAGTAAAATTCTAAGTTTTGAAGACTAAAAATTAGGTGCAGCACAAAATCATTATAAAAATAAATATGTGTTATTTTGTTCAAACCACCTAATACAAGAAAGAGCTTGCACTTATATCATATGCCGCCATATCCTGAGGGGATTCCAATGAATTAGTTAAGCACAGTATAGACATTATTATTATGCAAAAAATGCAACTCTTAATTTGCACATATGAACATCCCACAGAGAGTAAATGAGACGTCTGATTAGTTAATCTGCTTTGGGTGGTACAGACAGGAGATTGGTTAGGAAATCCTGGGATTTCTTAGCATAAACAACAATAATAGATCATATTTGTAGGGTGATTTTAGTGTAAAATAATGTTCCAAAGGTGCTTTTCAATAGCAATATCAATAAATACACTCTACCAGGGCAATAACCAAAAACTTGATCAAGAAAATAGTTTGTAAGGGACATGTTAAAAGATGACCGAGAGATCTTTAACAGGTTTAGTAAGGGAATTCCAGAGTGTAGTACCTGGGCTGCTGAAAGCAATTAAAATCATGGATGCGCAAGGGAGGAGAATTGGAAAGCACAGGCTAGAAGCACAGGACGATCCAATAGAGATAAAGAATGGCATGGCCTTGGAGAGATTCAAAAACAAGGATAAGGATTTTAAATTGAATGGAAGCCAGTGAAGTTAAGAAAATACAGGTGAATGATTGGACCGAGTGAAGATAATAGGTCGAGTTTTGATGAGCACAAATATAATGTTAGGTGGAAGATGGGTTGCAAGCCGGGACAGCGGGGAATAGCTAAATCAAACAGTAACAATGACATGAATAAGGGTTACAGCACCAGATGAACTGAGGCAAAATTAAAGTGATTTCGTAGGCTACACCATAAGTCCCAACTTCTGTCTCTGGTCTGCTGCCTTTTGTAATATTTCAAGTAAACTTAGTCAAATTATAGCCATTTCGCTACCACTGCCATAACAGAGAGACTTCAATGGTCCACCAGACCCATGACTGGCCACTGGGTTATCCTGTTTCCTCAGTCACAGTCTGGTCGTAAACAGAATATCTCCCACCTGGGTAAAGAAATAAATCTTGACTGCTCCTGGATTTTATGGTAACTCCCAACTTCACCATCCGCTTTATGATCTTGCAACAGACTCTGTACACTTCCTGAATCTTCATTACAATAAAAATAACAGAATTGCTATCTCTTGATGTACTCCACTCACCTTTAGCTTTTGAACCTCACTCACTACAGCTGCATTCAACCTTAGACAAGGGTTTGGTGAGACTCCATGCTGTCTTCCCTTTACCCATGTCATAATTATCCCACACTGGGACCTTTGATATTAATGCTGGACTACTTTCTACAGTCTTCATTTACTTCCTATTTCCAGTTTACTATCAGGTTCTTATGTGTCCTAATTTTTATGCCTTTTAGCCTTTCCCTAATCCATTTCCATGTGCAGTTGATTTCATTGTGGATCTGAGCCCATCACATTATTTGCACTTTTGTTTTTTTTTCTTTGCTTCTTTTCCCTTTACAACTTCTAGATCCCTGATTTTGTCATGTCTACTTTCACTTCTCCAGATTTGGGTACTCTGGCCCCCCAGTCTCTAAACCTAGCCCTTCAGCATGCCTCAAGTTGGGAAGTGGTTGGGTAGTGGTATTGTCATTGGACCAGTAATTCAGCGGCCTAAGCTAATGCTCTGGAAACAAGCGTTCAAATCCTTGCCAGTTGGCGAAATTAAATTCAATCAATAATACCTGAATTGGAAAACTAGACTCAGTGTTGGTGCCATTAAACTGCCATTGATTACTGTAAAAGCCATCTAAATCATTGATATCCTTTAGTATCCTACCATACTAACTTGACCTGGCCTACATGTGACTCCAGCCCCACAGCAATGTGGTTCACTCTTAACTGCCCTTTGAAATAGCTTAGCAAACTATTCAGTTCCGCACTAATTAGGGATGGGCAACAAATGCTAGCCCATATCCCATTAAGATGAAAAAACTAGCTCTTTTGTTGTGTTAACTACGTTTTTAATGGTGAAGCTGCTTCAAAACTTCACCTTAGAGACTTATGTAAATGAGACATTTTCTAATGTTTTGCAGTCCAATAACACAATGAAAACATGTTTAAGCTAAATAAACAGTAAAATTCAATAACTGGACAGAAAAATTAACTGGCATATTTGTATCCCATATAAATATTAACTCTTGTAATATTATGTATTAAAATAACTTTACAAAAAATGTTCTTTCTAGAAAACTTAATTTTTTTCCCTTTCATTCACATCATTTTCACTAGGAAGCAAGACATGGATCAGGCTACCAATATTTCCACAGATTACATCAAGGCTGCACTTCAGCTGACTTAGCTGGAGGTATATTTGAATTGAATGGAGATACCCCCTGGAGGGATTGCCCTCTACCACCAGATGACCTTGCCAGGACCAGCAAACTTGGATTTCTTAGTGCAAATGTCAGACAAAGCTTGGATTTGAAAGAAGACTTTCAAGTTGAAATGCAATGCTTCAATATTTGTACAAATCAGGGTAACAAATCAGTCTTTATTGCACAAGCAATTGTTTAAGAAAATTTTAATACATTCTGCAATTGCAAATTGCATTCAGACTGGAGCCTACAAGACTCCTGGAATGATTTAGAAATCTTCAGCCTGACACTAAAACAAAATGGAACCTACACTGCTTAGCGAATCCAAAATTTCAGATATTGTTGGAGAAATAACATGATTTTATTCAAGCATCAGAATTCGTTACACCAAAATGTATGCATGTAGGAAATGCAAAGTCCCATGTTGCCCTGCAATGTTAATTGCTTCTTGCTGTCACATTATGAAAATGTTACTTGCCATCCTGTCTGAATGGATTCAAGTAAAATGACTTGGTTCTGATTTCAGCAGAGATCAGATTTGAATCATTTTACTAAATATGGTATTAGATGTTGTTTATAAAAAATCTAAGCAGAAATGTTCATATTTGCACTTACTTATTATTTCGGTGTCATTTATCTTGAAGCTACAAAGAACTTGATCAGCATTCCGTGCACGAGAAAATCCATTACCTCTTACCACGACTTGATACGATTCTGCAACAAGAGCAAAATAGCACAAAAACCTTACAGGTGCCTGTCAACACAATTATGAACTGCACATTTCTTAATTTTAGAACACACGCATAGTTGTACTGATGCATCCTGCAGATTTACTGCATCAGAGCAGTAATAATTATGCTAGAAATGACATAATCAACTTTGAACATGTTATGCAAAGCTTCAATAATTGGCTAAAGAATATCTGGCGACTGCATCTTGAGATTTAACACCAACCTGTCATCAACCACTGGAGCCTTGGTGCATTACTTTCCAATATCATCACATGCTTTGATCACATAACAAGCAACAACACTCCCAACAGAATTGCAATTATGAACATTTTTGTGTTTATGCTAGGCTGAAGGAGATAGATTATTGCTTAACAAGGAGTCAACGGTTAAGAGAGGGCTGAAAGAAAAGTGTAATTGAGACCAATTATTTATTGCATGGTGCAAAAGACTTACAAGCTGAATGGCAAACTCCTACACCTACTTCTTAAGTTCTTAATAATGAGTAAAACTTAATCCTTATTATATATAATAATATACACTTCTGTAGTTCTCATCGATGTGAGGAAATCCCCTTTTACATAAGAATGCAATAATACTGATGTCAGTCCCAATGCTAAGTACAGTTCAGTTGTATGTTTCCATACTGAATTATTAATCAATCATTCAATTTAACGAATTTTATCAGAAGCTGTTACTACAGAGCTCTATCTTTGCTGTATTTGTGGCATTTGAGATAGCAAAAGTAGTTCATCATTATGGATAAATTTTAATCAAATGTAAGTTTGCCCCGAAAGTGAATAATGAAAGAGAAAGACAGGCATTTATATACTGCCTTTGGATCTCAAGACATCCCAAAGCACTTTACAGCCTCTTAAATATTTTTTGAAGTATTGTCACTGGTGTAATTTTAAAAAGAGGCAGACAAATTGCACACACCAATGTACTATAAATAGCAATTGAAAATAGCCAAATGATCTGCTTTAATGATGTTGATTGATAAATACATATTGCCCAAGGAACTCTACTGCCCTTCTTTGAAATAGTGCTATGAGGCATTTTTAGTCTGCCTGGGAGAGTAAAGGGAGATTTGATTTAATGTCTTAGACAAAAGACAGCACCTCCAACCGTCCAGCACTCACTCAGCACTGCTTTAGAGTATAACACTCTAATGACTTAAAGGCGAGAGTGCCACCACTGAACCATGGGGAACTTAAATTGAACTAAGTCAGGAAGCTCTTTCCTTCTTTGATCAAAAGTAAATAGAATGTATTCATTTTTAAAATTCTACTGTTAAAATACAGGGAATTCAGAATTTCTGTTATAATTCCCTCAAGTAAGTCTATCAGTTCAGCTTGTTAGCTAGCACGTTAGTGTTATTTTAGTTGAATATAGGCACAAATCATAGTCAGTTTCACAGGTGCCTGAAGGTGACAGTATGTTGAAATTGTATTTATTCATATTCCTACTTACCAGAAGTTTGTCAGAGATATTCTCTCATCATGCACCTCTTTTGTTACTTACATTTTATTTGTTTCTCAATGATCAAGAATACTTAATATCTATTTAATATGCATAATACATGTGCCCTCTTTCTGTTTTACGGTATTGTTAGATATATATGGTTGAAATTTTGAGTGTTTGATTATCTCTCAATTTTCATTACCTGAAGGTTCCCTACATTATGCGGAATAATGAAGATTTTGGTTTGCGTCTTTGATGGAGAGGAATAACACCTAAGCTCACTTTCATACTTCTAAGTGGCATTTTGGTGTCTACCTACCACAATAGTTTCCTTTCAATTGAAACAATTTTCAAAATACCGAGCTTGCGATAATGTTGAATATAATTGCATATTTATCTGAATTCTTCCAAAGACTGATCAATATAATCCATTGTATTGCATAAATAAAGCAAATAGTTGTTTTTATTGGGGTAATTATTATTCTGTAAGTATATTACAATTAAATAGGATCTTTTTACTTTCCTCATCACAATATTTAAAAAGTATTGGTAATGAAGAATCTAAACAATAATAGTGATTACCACAAGGTAGACAAGTTCACTAAAAAATAAGAAGAATGAAAAATGGCTGGCACAAGGCAAACAAAGCTGTGAGTACAAAAATTGTGAACTGCTCTCTTGTTAATGTCACAGGGTTTAATCACGTCATTATAGCTTACATCTATGGTTCTTCTGATGTCCCACTTGCCATGTCAGCTGAGGTACAATATTAAACCTCTATTCTGTCAGCTAGCAACCAGTTCAAATCTCTAATAACATGTCATCACAATAAAGTAATCCAGTTTAATTTTACATTAAATTTCCTTTTGTTTCAAAGTCGTAGGCCAGTTTACGAATCAAATCCTTGCTTGTGCCCAGCAATACGTGATTAATATGAAAGCTGAATGCCGAAATGGCTAATTCTATTTAATTTCAGGTTCTGACTGTGACCGAGTCCTTTTCTTTCTTAGTTACTGTCAGATTGTACATTTGTCGATTTTGACAAGATAGCAAAGGGAAAAAGGTCAGCTCTGAAATAATCGGGCAGCGCTGGCAGCAAGATGGTGGGTTGAAGCTGGTGCGCGCTGGCTGTGCTGTCGGCTCTGCTTTTGTGACTCTGATGAGAAGCTGACTGTTTGCATCCACACCTGGTAGTTGACGTGGCCAGTAGGATGCCACATCCAGCAAAACCTTTCAATCATGTCTGTGTACCATGAGCATAATCAAAGCAATGATGCTGTCAACTTGTATACAATGCACCTCCAACTCCGAACTGATGGCCTGTTTACAGGCTGCACGTCCTGGTCATTTCAAATCAACCTTATTACGAAGATAGCAGTGCGTTGCTCTGTATCAGGAGTTGCAGAATGCAAATATTGTTCATGAATCCATCAGTATGCAGGCAGAAAGCATGAAGTGGCATGTTATAGAAACAGTGATATCTTCACACATGTCTGTCACAATTCAGGAATGCCATTTATTATTATTTTTCAACTCTGTCAGTGCACACTCTGTACTGACAGATTGGACTATATAAACATTTAGCTAGTACTTTGCAGTTTAATATTAAGAATACGGCAAGGTTTTCATTTCAAAAATGCCCTCATTTATAGGTTAAGAAAAAGTACAGAAATGGATGATAATTTATTCAATAAATGTAATTTCTTATGACTTTTAAAATATATGCATTTCATTTTCATTTTATAACAGTCAATAGTGGTCTCTTTTTAATTTTCATTTTTATTTTAGAATTGGGGAAATATATATAGAATCAATGAGCTATTTCTTTGATTGCACAGTCTACCGAATGAACTTAAAAGTCATAGTTTTCTATAGTTTTATTTCAGTGCATCATTCAGACTGTAGAATGTCAAAGTGTAAATATTAATGAACATAGAAAGTAATAGTGAATAATGTTAACTTGGATGGTCAGATTCATTTTACTTAAATTTCTTTGAAAACGTTCGTGACTATAATACCTATTTCACAAACAAATTATATACGTAACAAATATTAAAGTCCACATTTGAGATGTGAAATAATTTTATAGAAACAAGTTTTTGTTTCAACCTTTGATTTTTGAAATTATTATTAAACTTTCACATAGAAAGACTTAAATGTTTAATTCTACATAAATTCTATAAGCTAACCTGTTGGTAAACACAGAAGAGCAATGTTCAGTTACAATCCATTCATATCATCAGTTTCAGAATTAGCTGTTTAGTTTTAAAATTATCTCCTATATAATTACACTCATAACTTGATGAATGGTGGTGTAATATTTAGAACCTACATATAAACTAAATTTTGTTGCTATTTTAGGGATTCTATGATTTTATGACAATTAACTGAATTAAGTATGAACTTAATTACAAGTTTTAAGTTACCAAGGCAGCATTGCTCGAATTTGTAAATTACATTGGAATGAGAAATTATTTATCAAAATACTATTCCACTCCTATTATTCACTTTTCAACCATTCTCATTTAGTTAATTCAACTAACATTTTCACCCCACATGAGTCACAGGATTATTCTCTGGTTATTGTTAGAGAAGCATCAATTCTGCTTATATAAATACATTTTAGCAATGACACTGGAGGTTGTAGAACAGTTGGAAAAGATTATTAAGAACACAAAAGCGCATGAAATACTTGTCTATCAAAATTTCATACCATGGAAAGCAACTGATTATATAATATGGAGATTTAATTCTTCACTCAAGAGGCAGAAAGAGAAACATTGCAGAACTTGGTATCAAGTAAATTATTTAAAGCAAATGAAGTAAAATTTTTCTTGGCTAAAACTGGAGAATAAATGGGAGATAATGAAATGTTTTATCCTGAACCTCTTTTGCATTAATACACAGGGTGAATTTCACTCTAGTCATTGTGGTAAACTGTACAGTGATCTTCAGATGGAATATACTAAATGGGTTTCATGAATTTTAAACTTGCTTACATCCTTAAAACTGTCAAGACATTTCCACCCTCTAGTCTTCATATCATACCTATTGATATAAATGGAAAGGGCATCAGCCACAATATAGAACTTCCAACATGATATGTGGCACAGTGGAAAGCAGTTTTTGATTCTATTTGATTCTGCAATTGATGTTAATATTGAATTGTCTCACTGTATGCTGCAATGTAAAGTTTGTCTTGATATCTGAAGTAAATTATACTGCAACAGTTTCAAGTAACAGCGCAAAAATAATTATTGACATGCACTCTGCACAGTTCAAGTCTTGATTTTAGCTTGATCAGCCGGCTCCATGATTTTTGCCTTGTTCTCTATTACTGCTCAGCTTCCAAGCAAAGTCCTATACTTTTAACTGTTTGGGTGGTACTCGCTCATGATGGTTGGTTGTATTCAAGTTATGACTGATGCAAGAAGTGATTGCAAAACATTTTGAAAAGTTATAAAATCAGAAAGTATGATACAAAATTTAGTGTTCATTATTAGTTGCTAGTTAGACATTTGTGTCCTTTCTCTTAGAAGATAAGAATGTAAATATGAATGCCAAGCAGCTAGATAATGCAGTAAGTGAAAGCTTTTTTCATCTACATGGTGTCTTGAATCAAAAGGTTGTGGACAAAAGGCTGTTGTAAAATATGTTAATCAATTTAAGCATCTCTAACATTCCTTTCACTGCACAGCTATGGTTGTGGATCTGACTGATCTCATGCAACTTGTGAACCACCTTCAGACATGAACCAACTTACGTCCTTTGTATTACAAGTCTAGGCCTGATTGCTTTTAAGAGAACCCCTACTATAAAACAATAAAGAATTTGGTTAAGCATGGAATTTGTAAACTGCATAAACATGCATATTAATTTGTTTCCTTTCAATTAGAGTTCAATTAGTGATTAAATGAATAATGCAAACATGTTTCTTGAAAATATATCTTAACCACTACATCGAAGTTGTTGACTTGCTTGCCGAGCTGGCTTGTTCTCGTTCAGCTGTTTTGTCACCGTGCTAGGTAACATCATCAGCTTCATCGGAGGCTCCACTGATGATGTCATTTAGCATGGTGACGAAACAACTGAACGCGAACAAGCCAGCTCAGCGAGCAAGTCAACAACCTCACCCACAACCCAAGCTATTGATCTTTGCCAAAACTTTAACCATTATATTACACATTTTTAAAAATTCTCTCTCATCAACTTTTTAAATCTTTATCACTTAATGATGGATTGTTTTCGATTAAAAAGTCAAGCCTACCTCCTGCACAGACACTTGATGGTTCAGCCGCCAGAATTTCAATGCAAGATTTCTTAAGAACCTGGTAAGACAGAGATAACAAAGAATACTTTGATATCCAAAGAATTCAACTACAAACATACTTGTAAAATGGTTGTTTGTGCTTTAAATTAATTTGAAATAGGGAATGGAGAATAATTTGCTGCTTAAAAACTGCATGAAAGTACCATTGGACATAAAGCCACTGTACCATGCAAGTTGGACTTACCGAATCAATTACACTTCCTAATGCTTGAAATCCACCTTTCACTGGGAAAACATGATCAATGCTATCAGCTAACTTTGCCAGCTAGAAAAGAATGAAAGTTTATGATTAAAAAAGTTTGCTTGGTGAATTGGAGACAGGAAGGACTACAGATATTGGAAGCTAGACCTGATGAAGGGTTTCGGCCTGAAACGGTGATTTTCCTGCTCCTTGAATGCTGTATGACCAGCGGTGCTTTTCCAGCTCCGCATTTATCAACTTTGGGTGGTGAATCATTGACAGTTCATTTTCAGGTTTTCGTTAGACAATAGACACTAGGCATCCCCTATGTTTTCTGTAATTTACAGCCACGTAGCCACTCAGGTTATAAAATCAGAAAGTGCTGGAGAAACTCAACAGGTCTGGCATCATATGTGGAGGGAGAAACAAGGACAGCATTTCATGTCTACTATTTCTCTCTTCACAGATGCTGCTAAACCTGCTGAGTTTCTCTTTTTATTTTATTTCTATTTTAATTTCAGATCTCTGGCTTTTATTTTAAGTTTTCATGTTACTCCATAATTTCTTGGGATCTCTGCTTTGCTGCTCCAGGCCTTCTGCTGAGGCCCTTCAAAGCTCATTAGCATAGCTCCACACCATTCAAATCAGTTGTGACTATGAATTTCCTAGTTTTCTTGTGGCATACAGTTACACCAAGAAATTGTGATGCAGACGGTCTGAAAATCACCAATTGGCAGGGTAAATTATGGATCTTAAATACACCTCATTTTGACAGAACTATTCAAACTCTGCACCCCATCTCTCCACCTGTTTGGGCAATTTTATTTGCTTGGCTCTTTTTCACATCTTCAAATTCCTGGATAGAGTTCTGTGAATGTCAGAAACCAATTTTTCTTTGCACCTTCATCCTTTGTAATACATTTGGAGTGACAAAGTCACTGCAATGGCTATCCCAAAGGACACTCCCATAAGTATCATTGTTATGAAGGAGGAGGTGCACAGTCAGGAGTGGGGATCTTGAGATACAATTGCAGGAGACATCACAAAACTTACTGCTGGAAATGTTTCCTGGACCAGACATCTGCGGTGTGACTTTTGAGGTTTGAGAAAGCATCAAGAAGAATTTATTAAATAAATCAAATTGTGAAAATGTAACATGTACCTGTGTTTCATTGAAATCTTTCACACCAACACAATAAATTGTAGCTCCATAACTTCTGGCCCTTTCAGCCTATACAAAGAGAAGACAAGTTTGCCAAACTTGTTTATTGTTGAAAATAAATTGGAGACTTAATTTCTTTTCTATTGCTTATGGATACTTACTTCCCTTTGTGCAAGATCATACAAATGATCAATTAATTCCCCATCCGTCAATGCAATGATGACACTGGCAGCTCGAATCCCTGTAATTGCAAATTAGCATTAGTATTTTCCCAGCAGAAGATATTTAGCATGGAAGTATGCAGAATTTAACTTATCATGCAGTACTCCTACAGCATTTAACATCTCCAAATAACTCTGTATCAAACCAAGTCAAAGGGAAGTAGCACTTATAGATTTTCTGTATGCATTTCCATTGACTAATAACCCTCCAAGGGGAGGAAAGAAAAATATACATTATCGTTAGCAGGATAACTTTGATGCGGTAATATACTAAGTTCTACTTAGTGAACTAATTGCTCAACGAATATAATAATTTCCTTGAAAATTTAAACATGGTAGAGACAAATGGCTAACTTGAACATCATAAATTACAAGGAATTAGCTTGAAAAGATTCTAAATGAGTTGCAGTTTCATGTACTCCAAAGTTATGGAAGGATCTCACTGTGCAGTCTTTTGGTCTTCAGTCTGCCTTCTTTTAAAAGTATACTTTGCTCACTGCTGTTCATTCCTTTGTATAAGGGGATCCAAGCATAGGAGCTGATTTTCCACCTTCATTATGAATGAAATTGGGTGGGTGTCAACATTATGATCAAACCATAGGCCCATCTCTCCTCTAGCCTGCCTGATGTCCTCCACTCTCAGAATTCCAAACTTATTCCTGTCCTCTTGGATTGCCAATCATAATGCCCTATCCTCCCACTCAACTGCACAAAGATGTTTAAAATGCTTTCTAGCTTTTGCACCACTACCCTTACTTCTGAGTCTTTTTAACCAGAGAAAAGTTTTTGGTTTTCGTTTTAAAAATGAAGTAAAATAATGTCTGGTATTAGCTTTTGCTTTCTATTGTAGTAATGTGCAGTGGCAGCATCGTGTATAAAAGTCAACGCACATTAAAATAAAATTTCCCGCTCTCTGGGGAGCTGCATTGACTCATGGGTGATTTTCCAAAAAGCAGAAAATTTGATTTTAATCCATACTGACTGCTTGATGCGCTGCCACTGCTGCACACTAAAATAATTGTGTAGCAGGAGACTGGGAATTAAATTATTTTAATTAGTCTTTTGAATGTGGATCAGAACATTTTCTCAAATATTGCAACTTATGATTAAGGCTGATAAAACAAAGTGAGATAATATTTTAAACAAAACCACACATTGGAAAGAGGAGAGCAACAGACTGCAATCAAGAGAGAAACAAGCAAGAGATTGTCAGGCAGTTTTAATTTACATCTTCATTTTCTCCACTGCTGATGAAACTCAGTCTTTGTTTTACTATCGGTGCAGGTCAGGTATATTTCATTTGACAACTGTCATTTTCAGTGGTGCAGTTGGAGATTGTGTTACAAGTTAACAAATATTGCACTGTTGCTGCAGATGAACGCAGAGATCCAAGCACAGTACTACAAGAGGAGGTGGACATTTTCTCTTCTCTGCTGACCTTCCAATGGTCTATCTTAAGCTAATGGAACACATTATTGACTACACAGTCAGTTATTCAGGTCTGATTGGATCAGATTAACAGCCCTAACTTACTCTCATCCTTTCAGACCATTCATACAACACACTTCTTTAATCTCTTTGGTCATCTCTTCAAATATTTCCTTCTACAGCTCAGTGCTAATCATATTTCCTTACTGCTGTGTAGAACAACTTTGTGGGCTGCATGTAAATACATGTTAACACTGTTGTTAATATTTTCAACTTTTGACTTTTAATATGTTGCATTGACATGTGAGATATATGATATCAACCAATCTTTTGGTATAATTTTAACATTGCTTGCATTATATAAAATAATGCCAAATGATCAGCGCAATTACTCACTACAAGGACAATTTAAACTTTAGCTAAAAGACATTTTTTTAAAACTTATTTTCTACAGCTCCTCCTTCACAGATTCATTCAATACTTTCTCCTCAAAGAAGTTATTCTTCTTGTTTTTAAGGAAAACACACCCAACATTAAGTTTCTTCCCCTTTTCCTGGTCTTGCTAGACCATCAAATGCAGCAGTGAAACAAACAAATGATTTGTCCCCGACCTCTGGCAGTACCCTGCAGTTGGCAGAAGGCATAGAAATAGCTCAGTCTCAGCTCACTCCCATATTTTTCTTGCCTTTCCAAGTAACTTTGGCCTTTATTTGGCACTTTTACCTGCACAATGCAGCTGAGATTGGGAACTCTGTAAAGAAGTTGCAGTGATTGTAATGAGGTCGCCAGCTGGACCTCATAGAATATGAGTTCCCTGATTGGGGCTGTCAATCTGGTCCAATCAGGAACCCCTGGCTGACAGATAGGAACAGGAGTGTTAGACATTCTGTTCACTCTGAGGAAGCTGGATAAGTGTCAAGCACTCTCCACTTGTAAATAAAGGATGACTTGCTAACAGGACACCAGCCTCTGTGGAGATATTTCAGTAGTGACAAACAATTTGTCTGTATTACATTTGCAATAGGAAATTTCTGAACTTGTTTAATGTCCAAATCAAAACTCATCATAAACATGATGAGGTGTGCGGATGTAACTGTTGCTGCCAGTTTTTGTCCCTGAATAAGAACAGTAGAGGTAGGGAGGCTTAGTAGATAAATTATAGAGCTTTGGATCTTGGCAACTGAAGGCCTAATAATGTTGCAGCCAACTGTTACCAATAACGGTTGAAAGGAGGGAAGAGGCACCGGCGGCATGAGTCAGAGAACTGCAAAATATGGAGGCGGGTGAGAAGGGAAGAAGTGTTTGGAGCGTAGGTGGAGCTGTAGCAATTATAGAAGTTATAGCATAATTGGGAATGCTACGATGTGATTTAAGCATAAGGATTTGGATCAAATATGGCCACCGAGAAATAAGGTTGATGCCCACCTGAATTGTTTTCGTGGTGAATCTGTTCAGTTGCCTGTAACAAGTTTAAATGGCATACAGTTACTAAAGAACATTGATGTGAAGCTTGAAGCAGTGTCTAAATCAGCAATTTTTTTTAAGGAATCAAATTATAAACAACAGAATTTATGCTGTAAATTATACCTTTCTGAAGCCCTCATGCATGAATGTATCTCCTCCAGGCACAACATTCCGAAGGGTTTGAAGACCTCTTCGTATAGCTTCCCTTTAGTTAAAATATAATTACTCAAGTTTAAACAATAGTACTAAGTCAATGAATATATTATCATTTGCCCTGTCTTTGTTATTGAGGGTACTGTTAAAGCAGTGAGTTGCTAATTTCAGTGAGTAATTTTGCACAGAATGAGAGCAGCAATAAAGATCTCTCATTTAAGGAAAACTGGGCCTTGTATAGCAAAAAAATACATAATTTGACACTAAATTTGAGTGATCTGAGACAAGACTTACCGATTTGCTGTTAAGCTCATTAAGGTTGTACTTCTTGTGGAGAACACAATAAAAGACATTCGTAACTGAGGACTGAAAACAGTTGATTATTAGTGATTATTATTTTGAGTAAAATAACTGCTTGACCAGACAGTAATTATGTTAAATAAACTTGATAATACCTTAAAAATTTCTCAGCCAGAAGTTCAACAAAAGAATATATTTCAATCCAATGGTTCATAACACTTCCAGACCTGAAAATAAAAAAAAGATGTGCAATCAACAGGGGTATATGTTAGGCTAGACTACACAATTAGTGAGGAGAATTGCACTGCTAGGGGTGTTATGTTTTGAATGAGACATCAAAACCTTCTGCTGTCAGGTGGATGTAAAAGTTTCACGGCCCCATTTAAATGATGATAGGGAAGTTCTCCCCATCTCCTGTTCTGCACCACCAGAAACACATTAAGACATGAAAAATGGGAAAAGCTGTCCCTCAAGTCTACTCTGTCATTGAGTAAGATCATGGCTGTTCTTCAATTTTAACTCCACCTTCCTACCCAATATTAGGGATATTACACTATAAGTTTTCTAACCCAAGATGATTTCTCTAATAGATGTTTATAAAATAATGAGGGGTATAAAAAGGATTAATGGTAGTTGTCTTTTCCCTAGGATGAGGGATTTCAAGACAAGGGGGCACATTTTTAAGGTGAGAGAGATTTAAAACAAAACATGAGGGGCAATTGTTTTACATACAGGGTGGTTTGCTTGTGGAATGATCTTCCTGAGGAAGTGGCGGATGTGAGTACAATTACAACGTTTAAAATACATTTGGATAAGTACATGAATAGGAAAGATTTGGAGGGATATGTGCCAGGAGCAGGCAGATGAGACTAGTTTAGTTTTGAATTATGTTTGGCATGGACTGGTTGGACTGAAGGAACTGTTTCCACGCTATATAACTCTATGACTATGACTAAATCTTGAAAATACCCAACGACCGAGCATCCATCCACAGCACTCTGGAGTGGACAATTCCAAAAATTCACAGCTCCCTGAATGAAAGTTCTGGGGTACGTTTCATTTCTGAGCAGGCCTCATAATTATTTGTGAATTATACAACTTCAATAACTACTAGCCAACTCTGGCTAGTAATTTACTAAGCTCCAGTCAGAACTAAAGAACATACAAACTTGCTGTTTCCTATAACCCAAGACAGAGGTTTTATTTCTTATTTGTGCACTCTGTAGAAATGCAATACAAGTCTAAACAAGCGGCTGAACCTGGCTCATGACTCACCAGTGCTCATGTGACTCATCTCTTAAAGGGACATTGTTGCCACATAACATACCCTAACTATGATACATTTTAGTTTACATATTGCAAGTACCACCATCAAACATTAGACACATAAAGGTTGAAACTGCAGAAATCTGGTTATCAGCCCATCTGAAAGGGTTGAATTAAGTTTTTTTGGTGCTTTCAGGTACACTTGTTGCACTTGATTCTCTGGATTTGTTGTTTTTGCTGGGTGAGCCACTACTTTAGCATTTATGTTTGATTTCCCCGTCAGTACTTTTTTTTATTATTCCCGGTTTTTGCTTTGTATGGCACTTCAGACAAAGTTGAAGGTTTATTTTAGATCTGTGAGGATTTTGAAGGCTCTAAATATTTGTAATGAGTACGATGAGCGGATGAGTAGCTAACTATTGCAAGTTTAGTTACCATTCCAGCCACACCCATTATAACCCTAGGATCTGGACATGTGAGAAAATTTCAATGTTCACAGCTTGATGAGACATGTGGCCCAACAATTAATGCACATCAGAACAAGACACAAATATTCCCAAAGAATGAAGATTGTCACTGAGTGATGCTTCCAAACTCCTACATCCTTCTAAACCACCTAGAGCTGTAACACCAATCCAACTGCACTTGTATGAGGGAAATGATGAATGCAATGTTTGCAAAGATTATTCTTATTAATTTTTGTGTTAAAAGGATGCATGATCTGGATAAATCAAGAATTACAGAATCCCTACAGTGCAGAAAGAGGCCATTCAACCCATCAAGTCAGCACCAACTCTCTGAAGAGCGTCCCACCCAGACCCAGCCCCATACCATTTCTCTGCAACTGTGCATTTCCCATGGCTAATCCACCTAGGGCGCACATTCCTGGACACTACAGATAATTTACCATTGCCACTCCACCCAACGTGGACATCTTTGGAATCGCAGTCTCCTAGTCTCCATTAGAGACAGGCTTCCTCAAGGGCAAAGAGCCAGGCATCATGATTGTTTGTTTCAACCCAATGGTTTTCACACAATTAATGCTTAGATGATATGTGAATTTATAGAATCCCCACAGTGCAGTAGAGGCCATTTGGCCCATCAAGTCTGCACCGACCCTCTGAAGAGCATCCTACCCAGATCCAGCCCCCTACTGTATCCCCGTAACTCAACATTTCACCATGGCTAATTCACTTTTTTTCCCCCTTATTCATTAACGGGATGAGGGCATCGCTGGCTAGGCAGCATTTATTGCCCATTCTAATTGCCCATTGGGCAGTTTAGAGTCAACCACATTGATGTGCATCTGGAGTCACATGTAGGCCAGACCAGGTAAGGATGATAGTTTCAAAAACAAAGTTGCTGGAAAAACCCAGCTGGTCAGGCAGCATCTGGGAAGGGAAAAACAGAGTTAACGTTTCGGGTCTGGTGACCCTTCCTCAGAACCAGAAATAAAAACTGAGTTCTGATGAAGGGTCACCAGACCTGAAACGTTAACTCTGTTTTTCCCTTCACAGATTCTGCCAGACCTGCTGGGCTTTTCCAGCAACTTTGTTTTTGTTCCTAATTTACAGCATCCGCAGTTCTTTCGGTTTTTATTAAGGATGATAGTTTCTTTCCAAAAAGGGGATTAGTGAACCAAATGTGTTTTTCCTGACAATTGACAATGGATTCATGGTCATTATTATATTCTTAATTTGAGATATTTTTATGAATTCAAATTCCACCATCTGCCATGGCAGAATTTGAACCTGTGTTCCCAGAACATTATCTGGGTCTCTTGATTAACAGCCCAGCGATAATACCACTAGGCCATTGCTTCCCCTGTGGCCTTCATTCACCAAACTTTCATTGTACAATTAGGTAGCCATTCCTTGGAAAGTAGCCAAGAGTCCATCACATTCTGTGAGAGTAGAAACTGGATACACAATACAGAGTGCTACTGGGTGAACCTGTCTGTCCTATGTATTCATGGTTGCTGATCCCACTGAGAAAATTCCTACAGTAGGGGCCAGCCTCCAGCTGCAAGTTTGGACATTGCTTCGCAACTCCATGTTCACACCTGACGTTATTTTTAAGTAATAATTCTCCCATTTGCTATTTTGCCTGCAACCAAATTTCTTTCCCACTTGCTTCCAAAGGATTCCAAGCCACAGGTGAAGTACAAATTTTAATTATTTTTTCTCCTTTGACTGCTTAAATTTGACCCCAGAGAAAGCCAGACGGTCAAAAAGCAGCTGCCTTTTCTGTCACTTTAGCGCATATAAAACAACACATCGTTCAATTTATCAAGAGCATCATCAGTGAGACCCTGTATCACCCAGACAAAATGGATTGCACAAATACTGTCAGTGAGCCACACTTCAGTTTTATACGTTTTGAAAATTTTGCAGCACCTTTGCACCTGTCTCAAATTAGCTCAAATTTTATATTCAGAATTCAACAACAAACGATAACTAACAAGAAAAGTGTGCAATGTACTAATGAACACATTGTCACCAGAAATAAAAACTGTCAGCAATTTGACAAACAATAGCGGCAGGTACCAAAAGCAAGGAATGAAAGCAAATCCATTCAAATTGCTGCAAATTGTAAACAATGGACACTTACTAGGTGGAAGCAGGCCATTTGGTACACAGGCCCATGCTACTATTCTTACTCTACATGAGCTTCCTCCATTTTATTTCATCCCATCTCGTTTACATATGCTTCCATTCCTTTCTCAACAATCATTTAGGTTTAAAAAAAAGGTTAAATCACCATAATCCCAGAGGACCATAGGGCTGCTGCTTCATCAGACAGAGATGACTGGTGTGGTTTAACCTAAGGGTCACCACACATCAGGTGAGGGGCAAGACTGAAAAGGTGGGACCTTCACGGCAACCTCAGCCAGTGTGAGAATTGAAGCTGCACTGTTGGTGTCACTCTGCATTGCAAATAATCAATCTAACCAACTGAGCTTACCTCCTCCTTAAAATATCTTAGTCCCAGAGTGCTACTCTCTCATTTTTCAGAGATGACTGGTGGGGTTTAACCTAAGGGTCACCACATCTCAGGTGAGGGGCAAGTTTGAGAAGGTATGATCTTAACATTAACCTCAGCTGGTACCAGGAATTGAACCCATGCTCTGGCATCATTCTGTAGTGCAAACCAGCTGTTCAGTTAACTGAACTAACTGAGTCCCCTTAATCCTTTAGACTATCACTGGACTGTCCATTAAATTAGTAGCTCTCAAATTTCTTTGCTTGATGAAACTCTTTTTCAAATGAATTAGTAAGCATGGATACAAACCTTCTCCTTATGTTTTTTTTGTTTTTCTTTAACAATTTAACAAGGTCAGGACTTATATAATTAATGGTAGGGTCTTTGGTAGTGCAATAGAACAAAGAGACCTAGGGATTCAGGTACATAATTCTTTGAAATTTGTGTCACAGGTAGACAGGGTCATTAAGAAAGTGTTTAGCATGCTTGTCTTCATTGCTCTGAGTACAGGACCTGGGATGTCATGTTGAGATTGTAAAGGCATTGGTGAGGCCTCTTCTGGAGTACTGTGTGTAGTTCTGGTTACCCTATTATAGGAAGGATATTATTAAACTGGAAAGGGTTCAGAAAAGATTTACCAGGATGTTCCTGGAAATGGACAGTTTGAGTTATAAAAATAGGCTGGATAATCTGGGACTTTTTTAACTGGAGCAATAGGAGGTTGAGGGGTGACTTTATAGAGGTTTCCAAACTCATGAGGGGCATGGATAAGGTGAATAGTAAAGGTCTTCTCCCTAAAGTAGGGGAGTTCAAAAGTAGGGGACATATTTTTAAAGTGAGAGGAGAAGTTTAAAAATGGCAGGAGGGGCAATGTTTTTACACAGCGAGTGGTTAGTATGTGGAATAAACTGCCAGAGAAAATGGTGGATACAGTTACAACATTTAAAAGATATTTAGATAAGTATATGAATAGGAAAGGTTTTGAGGGATATGGAATGAACACAGGATGGGACTAGTTTAGTTTGGTCAGTGTGGACTGGTCGGACCAAATGGTCTGTTTCCATCCAGTCTAATTATCTTACCCACTACTCCACCCCCTCCAACCCCAAACTTGTGTGCAGGTTTACACCTTAGGTTTTCTACTTTTTTAAAACCTATTTTCTAATCAACCTGATAAAACATGTTATTACACACCTCTAGAACAGGTTGGACTTGAACCCAGATTTCCTGGCTCAACGGTAGGGTACAATACAGTATTATGTTAAACCAATAGTATAAAACAGCTGTATGTAATGAGTGTTTTAAAAATGATTTTTGAGAAAACAGGTCTTTAAATGCAGATGTGAAATAGTGTGTGTCTGCCTGTAACTTCAAAGACTGTCTACTCTTGTGTGTCCCTCCTAGGTAATAGTCAGACCATGCAGCATGGCACATGTGGCAACTGCACGCCACCTCATCTCCAGGCTCACATTTCATATTATTTTGCAGACCACCTGGCATGGTCTATGGAGCCCTATATAATAATTATTGCTTTAAGCTGGACACTTCACAAATTGGATTCGACCTGCCATTTTATATACTGTGGCTCCAGTGGCAGGTCAAAGGTTCAAAATTCTGAGGCAAATAAGTCATCTCCTGACTCCCAAAGGTTGCCCACTGTCTACACTACCCAAGCCAGGGGTGTTATGGAAAACTCCTCACTTGCCTGGACAAGTGCTTTTCCAACAACACTTAACACACTCAACATCATTCAGGCAAAGCAGCCTGTTTAATAGGCACCACATTCACAACCTTCAACATTCACTCCCCGCACTACCAGTAGTGGCAACCATGTGTGTCATTGACAAAATACACTGCACCATCTCAACAAAACTCTTTCAACAGCACCTTCAAAAATTGAAAGCTGTACCACCTAGAAGGACAATGGCAGTGGTGGGAAGTTCCCCTCCAAGCCACACACCATAGAAAGTTGCTGTTCCTTCACTGTTGCTGTGTCAAAATCCTCAAACTGCCCTCCTAAC